TAGCAGGTCATTTTTCTAGCTACAGTCTCCTTCAATAAATCTGAGTATAATTATATATAATAGTTCATGGTTATAAATAGTCTTACACATGGCTATTTTTTTCACAACCCTGTAGCATTTAAAATCTTTTCCCAGTCCTTTTGATCTTCAGACTAATTCTAGATAAATTGAAAAGTGATGGCAACAATTCAAAAGGAGCAGCATCGTAAGGACCTTTCTTATCAAAACAAAGTTTGAGAAATTGTTCTTACAGCTTGTATTGCCTTATAATTGACCACTCTGAAAAGCTTTATTTCATATCACTTTATTTATGCAGTCCCTTTTCTTCTAATTATGGTCTTGTTCTTCTGCTCTTCCTGCAATGGTTATTTTTTTGCTAGTTAGAGCCATTCATACTTTCCATTGAAATAAATGTGATGGTTCAAGCCCTCATTTTAAGAATAGTGAAGGGAATATTGAGGCTTTTACTTTATTGTGTTCTTAAGATACCAGGCAGTTCATCAAGAATGTACAAAAGGCTACAAGAAAAAGAACATCAATCATCCAGGTTTTCTCATTTCCATTTAAAGAAGTTCCAATAGTGTTGTATTTTCCTGACTTCTTTCATCTCTTCTCTTAATCATCACCTATCTAAATTTCAATCACTTTCTTACAAATTATGTTCCTATTGTGGTGATTCATGGCTAGTTTTCAATAAGTAATGAAGCTGCTTTATTTAAACAAATCATTGTTGAGATAACTAGCATTTTATGGTAGATCCATATAATAATTCAACTGATTATGTACTTTCAAGTTGGTGTAAATGCTTAGAATTGCATAACTAGACCCAGGATGATCTGTCCCCAATCTGGCCCTTCAGATTTTCTAGTGGTAGCCACATTGCTTCTAAAATCTAGTTTGTTTTACTTGCCGCTAGTTGTCCTTTCCTTTCTTTTCACCTTTCCCAGAATTACAGACTTTTCAAATCAATTATGTCTTAATATTAATACCACTGGTGTGTGTGTTGTGTGTGTGTGTGTGTGAGAGAGAGACAGAGAGACAGAGAGAGGCGTAGCCTGGGCCTTTCGTCAGCCCTCAGATAGAGAGTCAACAGCCCCCAGGTCTGGAGGTGGCTGATCAGGAAGAGGAGGAACAGCTGGGTCCAGTGCCTGACGCGCGGATACGCAGAAGGCAGAGGAGAGGAGAACAGTGGAAATCTGTTGGCCGATCCTTGGGACGGAAGAGCCACCGCTGCTAGCGAAACCCCACCCTAGCTCTGGGGATAAAAGGCAGGGGGCAGAGATGAATAGATGTGGCAGACAACTATTCATCTCCCTGCCGGACAGACTTGTTAGCTTGCTTTGAGAGAGAAACTTTTTGCCAGGGCTGCTGGCGCTCCTAATAAAGGAATCATTGATTTAAATACAGAGGGTTTGTCGTGTTTGGAGAGCTGGGTCAGAACCACTACATAACACAAGGCTACAAAAATCTGGGTCTATTATATAATAGCTAAGATCATAACCTAAATGGTCAAGACAATTTAAAAAAATGATCTCTTTGCTGTGCTGAAGGAAAATGTATATCTGTTCAAGTAAATCAGCCATTATCTTATAATGGAATACTACCTGCTCCCTGTCATCACAGTTGAATCCATAATGGATTATTTTGGGATGTTCCTTTGAATATACCCTCCAAAGTGTTTTTTTTCTTTTTTCTTTTACAGTCTTAATTTTTGGGATTCCAGGCAGCATTACTCATATCTCACCTTTGCATATGGTTGTTTCCACCTGATAAGACACTTATAGATTAAGGTTGTAGTTTGTCTAGAAGTAATTTTTTTTTATCATTGTCATCCTTGCTTTAAAAAAAAATGGTTTCACTTGGATTCTTTTGTAATTCCAGCACTAAACCATATAATATATGGATTTAAGAAGCTTATTTTTATGCAGCATTGGAGTGTATGAAAACTGATAAGAGCTACTGACTAACTAATGAAAGGATTAACACTGTGAATTCTATATTCTCTATTCCTGATGTGCTTACTACATCCCCCATTACTTCAGTGAAAGATTGAAGATAGCAGAACTAAAAAAAAAAAAGATTTTGCTATAGACTGTCACAGAGAAGAGGTCAGTTGGTGGTATGTAATTATTAAGCTGCATTACATTTTTTGTTTGTCAGAACCAACCTTCACCCCATAACTGTATGAATTGGTTGGTTGATAGAGCACTACTATATTTGGCATCTTGAGTTGCATTTGGGGGAAAAAAAAGAGGAGGATAAAAATTTAAAACAACAACAGCAAAAAACCCTAAATACTTTGTGCGGTAAGGAAGTACAGGTAGTCCTCGATTTATGACCACATTTGAGCTCCAAATTATTGTTGCTAAGTGAAACATTTGTTAAGTGAGTTTTGTCTCATTTTGTGATCTTTTTTGCCACAGTTGTTAAGTGAACCACTGCAGTTGTTAAGGTAATTACACAGTTGTTACGTGGATCTGGCTTCCCCTTTGACTTTGCTTGTCAGAAGGTCACAAAAGGTGATCATGTGACACCAGGACATTGCATCGGTCATAAATGTGAGTCAGTTGCCAAGCGTCTGAGTTTGGATCATGTGACCATGGGAGCGCTGCAATGGTCGTAAGTGTGAAAAATGGTCATAAGTCACTTTTTAAAAGTTCCGTTGTAACTTCAAACAGTCACTAAATGAACTGTTGTAAGTCAAGGAATATCTGTACACATTTGTTTTTAAGGTTGAAAATGTGGATGAAGGGTTGGAGAAGTTTAAAGGGCAGAAGGACATTTCATAAAGGCTCAACATTTTTGTGAATCTTTTTTCCTGATTTCAAAAGGGGATGTTTTTCTCCATAGTAGTATGGCAATTGAAACCGTAATTAATTCATAGGTAAGGATTTTGAAGTAAATCTAGGTTTGCAAGAATTCTGTAGGCAGTAATCTGAACTCCATAGGATTGATCTGTCCCCGTCCACACACACACACAAACACAGCCAGCCGAAGGTTAAGGAAACACTTTGGCACACACCCAGGTCTTTATCTCCAACTTAGCAGCGATTTACACACCGTCTGCCAAGTGCGTTTATTTCCACAAAACAGAAAGATAAGATACTTAGCGTACAAAAGTCCAATCAGAATAATATTTCTCTCAGCAGTTCCGGACGAGGCTTTAGTGACTATCCAAGGTTTACTTTTGTTCGTCACAAGGATCACTGGCCACCACCCTCTATTATATAGTCTCTGGGGTGTGGTCCAGTGACTCAGTTCTAATCCCTAGCATGCCTCCTGAGCTGCTGCAATCGTTTATCCTGCCTTCGGAGGCGTGCGTCCAGGAATGATGTTTCTCCTTCGCTCTCATCCGAGCCACCTGTCTCCCTGCTAATCTCCTCTCCCTCGGCCGGCACCTGAGACAGTGCCAGAGGGGAGGGGCCTGGAGAGGGAGGCCTGGCTGACTCCTCTTCCTCATGCTCGGAGCTTTCTTCCTCCGATGGGACAGGCTCAGAGGGCGGGGCCACAACAAGGATTTATTTATGAGTAGAAATGTACACTATAAGATACTGATGGAGAATCATTCAAAGAATAAAGTGATTGCTTTGGCGAAAACAATATATCTTTCTATTTGTCTTAATGTACTTTTGACCCATAGAATTTCCGTGTGAACTCACACAAATAGACGTGCAAATACTTTTCTCTTAAACTATACATTGAAGATCTTAACTACAGATTTGAAACCATAGAAAGTGTTCACACACTTGCATTCTCATGCCGTACAACAATTTTATGCGATGATTCAATTAAAATAACAAGCTTTGTTAATACTGTATTTATTGGTTTGACACTGACCTTTTAAAAGAGCCATAAATATATACTAGTTGATTTGACTTAAAGCTTAACAATATTTCATTTATTATTTACTATTAGATTAAATGAATGGTAGCCAAACATCTCTTTGTGTAGAAAAATTCATACTTTGCTGGTCAGTTAAAATAAAGCATCCGCACACCAATTATTACTTTTTCTAAATACAACTGAGTGAAATAATTAGATCATGTTAATCCTACATCAAATTAGACCACTTGAATAATATGTGCATTTTTCTACACCTAAGCTCAGATTTTTGAAGAACATCTATTCAAACAACCAAGAACAGCCAAGGTAAAAAAGTAGGTGGGATCAGGATAATAGCACATTTGATTTATTTTAAATAAAAATGTAAGGTGATTTAAATTTAATATATTACATATAACTAATAAAGATTACTCCCCATGCATTTAATAGCTTAATTCACAGCAATTAATTTGAATGGCAACTTTTCAAGGACTTTGGGGGAATGAAGGCAGTTGTGCTGCTAAGCAGTATCAATGTCACTTGCAGTTGGAATATTTCTGCCCATCACTGAACATGTCTGGAGCTGCAGGATCTAAGTGAGATAGCACCTTATTAGAAATTAATGGTGTTTTTGTTGTTTGTTCTGCTAGGTTTCAAGAGGTCCCCTATTTCAGTCTTTTGATTTGGTTCCTAGTTCTGGATTCCTAGTTCTGGATTTTGGTTCTGTTCCAGGGATGAAATGCTACCAGTTAGCCCTGGTTTGGGCGAACCGGTAGTGATAAAAACTAGTAAAAAAAGCTACCGGTTCATCTGAACCGGTATTTCCAACGATCAGCTGTGCTGCAGGGTTTATATTCGCTAGAAAACAGGAAATTCTGCTGTTCTACTTACCTAGGGAACTCTTCTTTTTTCTTGCAAAGCACGCATTTGGCGCATGCACTCACAGCATGCTTTTGGTGCGTGCTGCGCATGCACAGTATGCATTTGGCACACGGCGCACATGTGCAGCCAGCGAACTGGTGGCAAACTGGTTCAGATTTCACCACCGTTCTGTTCTCAGCTATTAGGGAGTTTTCTCAAAATAATTCATTTAGAGCAAGTGGAAGCTGATGAGTCCTGACTTTTTTTTTGGTTATGTTTGCTATGACATATTTTATAATCTTTTATTTTAAATGCAGGTGAACCCAGAAAATTTGATCCAAAGTTCAGCGGACCTATTCACAACAGGTAAATATTTTATTTTGATATATCAAATTGTGTTTCTTGTGTATGAATATAAAAAAGGATATATGCACTTAATTGATTTGGAAGGAAAACATTTTTTCTAAGAGGAATTCTTGGGAGCACTCATTTTCCTCTCCCACCGAGGGAGAAAAAACATATTTAAGAGAATCAGGAATTGTTATGTTCCCCCCTCTCTTCAGTACTCTTAAAAGTAATATTTCTATTAAGACTTGCTTACCCTCAGCTGTGTGAAATTTGGAAAATATTCTTGTTCCTGTTGCACAGTTTTAAGATATGAGAAGATTTTGAAAAACTGTAACTGGAACACAGAGAATTCTGGTAGTAAGTTTATTGACACTGCACGAACATGTGCTTGCTGACCCACTGCATGTGTGGCCAGGTTCCCCTCTCCCCACAGCAGGGCTACCAAACCGCAAGGGTTTGGGATCACTGCTGTGAAGCACTATGAAGTGGTATATAAGTCTAAGTGCTATTGTTACTGTTCGTTAACTTTCTGCCATTTAAAAGACAGAAGTTATTCTGTGCCAGCCCTTTTAAGTTCCAAGAATGTCATTCTTCCAAACCAACCATCTTATCCATTACTTCATTTTCTAAGAATGCTAGAACTCCCATGTTAACTCTCATATAAGGAGAATAGTTGAGGCTGGAGGCTTTTACTTTATTTGTAGCATGCCTAATTCACATTTATGTATGTATTTGTTTGTTTATTTTTATTGAACGGATCAAAGCCATTCTGAGCAAGTCAGGTTACCACATGTAAACTCTTAGTTGGTGGAATGTGGGCAACAATACACTATCTTCCAAAGTAGTGTGTAGATTACAGATCTATCTTAATAGACAATACTGTATATGGCATGTGTTTGACCCGGAGTCCTGAGTAGTCTATACCTTCACCTTACCAGAAAGTTTTATGTGGAAGTCTCAGTTATCCAAAGCTATGATGTCAATAGCTTTTGGTCCATCTGATAATAAACACATAATAAATTCACGGAAGATTATGATTTGGAATGTAAGACAAGTAAATGGTAAAGAGAAAAAGAAAGAAAGAAAGAAAGAAAGAAAGAAAGAAAGAAAGAAAGAAAGAAAGTAGTGTATCTATGTAACTAAGAGAAAGGAGAATGAAAGTAATCTGATCTTGTGCAATGTATTCATTAAAACATGCAAGGCAATGAAGGTATAGGTTGAATTATAAGTAAAGGGAATAAAATGTATATTAGAAAGATGGGTCAACTATTTTGTGATAGGTGGATATGCAAATAGAAATCCTGATATTGAGATCATTCCTCTCAAAGGAATGGTGATAATAGAAGAACAAAATAGTAGTTTTGGGGAAATTGTGGAAAACTCTGAATGAATATTATCCAAAAATCAATAAGGTGACATGAATAGGAACAAGATAAAAAAAGTATAGAAAAAGTGACTTCACTATTTGGAGACTCAAGAATAAATTAGAATAGTAGTAGTTCAGTGAAGATTTGCTTTGAAAATGTTGGCTCCAAATATGTGGTTTAAGCATTAGTTTACTCATATGTTTGTGTGACAAAGGAATAAATATAAGTATAAAAGCACAGTTGACTGGATTGCTTTTGATGAACAATTGGCAGAATTAGTGTAGATGTGGGTCAAAGAATTTTTCTGATTATGTCAGGAGTAGATCTTGGGAGAAAAGTGGGCATGAAGCAAAACAAGGAAAGAAATAGAACATATGGAACATGGAAGAAATAATATTAGATTACTCTATCAAAAGAATGAATAGAGAGTGAACATAAGGAAAGAGAATGTGATCTCTTGCGTGGAGTTACAATAATGAGAAGTATGAAAAAGGATGCTTGGTGGAACATGAACTGGATGAGTATAAAAAATATAGGCAATGATCACTACAAAAACAGAAGATGAGAGGAAAAGACTATTACATATGTGCACTGAGAAAAAGAGTGGCAATAATAATAGTCATAGATAACAAGGGACAGTTAAGATTAAAAGGGAGGAAAAATACTGAAAGATTTTGATAAAGGTAAATACTTTTTAAGGTAGATAAAGAGAGTTAAGTAATGAGCCTTCAGCAGAGTGAACAGAATTAAAAATAAAAGGGATCAAAAGATGCGGGATGAAACTGAAGTGAGAAAATGCTAACATGAATATTGTGGACATTTGTATTGAAGTGATAGAAATATGTTGGAAGAATGGAATTGAAGTAAAAGTAGGTGAAGAGAAAATAATGAATGTGAAAATGTTTTTAAAAGTTAAAAGCTGCAGGTTTAAATAGTTTAAGGGAGAAAATATTAAAATATAGATGTGGTGGGCTTGTGGAATGGCTGTGCAACTTCTTTAACGTGTGAAAACAACATCTATGCCTGAATAATAGAAGAATGTGGCTATTATTATAATACTTAAAGGAAAAGTAGGAAGCACAAATGAAGAGTACAAGAATAACATTTCAGGAGTACAGGATGGTTTTGTTCCTGCATGGCATATAGAGGTCAGATTTTTGCTATTCAGCAAGCCATTGAGAAATGTATGAATATGAGAAAGGAATTTTATTACATGTTTGTTGATTTAGCAAATGCATATGATAAGCCTGAATTATGCAACGTTTTACACAAACAAGGACTTGAAAGTTAACATCCTGAATATGAGAGGGATATAATGAAGAAAACATGAGTGAGAATAAATAGAATTTTTAATAAGTGCTTTAATATTGAGGAAGGAGTAAGACAACGATGTGCAACGAACCCTTGAGTACTTAATACATGAATGGATAAAAGTACAAGGAATGCTTTTCGTTATGCTGGAGATGTTTTGGTTGAGGACATGAATATATATGTAGTTTCGTAAACAGATAATTCTATATCACTGAGAATCTGAATAATTTGCAGTGAAATTTAAATATATTGTATTGCATCTCTGTGTGTGTTTTGTAATTTGATTCTCGTTCATTCTTTCTGTTTGACCAAACCATCTCAACTTATTTTTGATTACATACAGTGCATTCAGAAAGTATTCAGACCCCCTTCAGTTTTTTCAATTTTGTTATGCTGCAGCCCAGAGGTGGGTTTCAGCAGGTTCTGACCAGTTCTGGAGAACTGGTACGGAAATTTTGAGTAGTTCGGAGAACCATTAGTAAAAATTCTGACTGGCCACGCCGCCATCTATTCTCTGCCTCCCAAGTCCCAGCTGATCAGGAGGAAATGGGGATTTTGCACTAACCTTCCCCTGGATTGGGGAGGGAATGGAGATTTTACAGTATCCTTCCCCTGGAGTGGGATGGGAATGGAGATTTTACAGTATCCTTCCCCTGCCATGCCCACCAAGCCACACCCACCAAGCCATGCCATGCCCACCAAGCCACACCCATAGAACCGGTAGTAAAAAATTTTGAAACCCACCACTGCTGCAGCCTTATTCTACAGTTGTTGAAATTCATTTTTTTTCTCATTAATCTACACTCAGTATTCCATAATGACAAAAGATTAGGGGGAAAAAAGAATTTGTGTATTCCCTTAAATTGAACTTAAATGATTAGTTTTTCTACGGAAACAAGATAATACTATACAGGTTAGCCATATTTATCAGAACAATAATACCAATGTGAAATGATAATTATTCGTGTGGTTGCCAGGTGTCCACTATTTGAGTGGACAGTCCGCTTTTTTCACATTATGTTCACTATTTTTTTTCACAAAATAGTGGACATTTTTTTTATTCAAAAGCTTTATGATGAAATTAAAATGTAATTTAATATTTTACATATTATTATAATATATTTGATGTTTTGAATTTTAAGTAAAGTTTTGAAGTGATTATTTTAATACGTGTTAAAATGTTTGTAAGAAAATATATAATTTAATTGTAATTTTTTTTTTTTTACTACTTAACACCCCCCCCCCCCGCTTTTCCCCTATTTTTTGGAAGCAGACCTGGCAAACCTAATTATTCGTGGTATTTATCTCATTAGTCATATTAGCACATCAAAATCATAATCTAGCATATAACAAATATTGGAATACATTCCTATTATCATTTATTGTCCAACAAGCATGAAATTCTGCAGAGAAGGACTAGCAAAATTAGCTCCTAAGCAATCCATCTGATTTTATTTTAGCAATAATGATATTTAATATGCTTGGAGAGTTTAAAGAGTTTGATGCCGGAAAGGAAGAGAAGTATTAAAAGCTCTGCACTTTATCTTCCATTTTGACTTGAGGCTGAATTTCTATTAAGTTTAATGAGAGTTGAAGATGTTTGGTATTTTTTAGAGACCACATACTGTGTGTAGCAGTTTACTAGTGATGTAGCAAAATTAACTTCTGATTTTATCCCCTTGCTTTACACTATGACACCTTAATATAAATATATTGTTACCATGACAATAACTGTAGATACTGCAGATACTTGCATTTCGCAGGTTCTACAACCACAGCATATTCCTAAAGGCAGGTGCTACCTAACTACTGTATCGTCTAATTTCTGTATAATTTATAAGGCTCTATAGAAGAAATGCAATATGGGAAACTAGCATTTATTTTCTGGAAAAAAAATCTTCTTCCCGCTCTGCAATGAACATATAATTCAAAACTTCCTCTTTTCTTGTTCTTTATTAAGCAGAAAGCATTTATTGTTGGTGCATGTGTTGGATCTGTTTGTATTGTGTGACAGAGGGCACCACTGCAAATGTTGTGACATTAATGGCAGACATTAGTCAGTATTTTTAACTTTTTATGACAAAGTACTGTGTTTTGTTCAGTATATAAGCATGTGTATATTTAATTGTTCCTGGTCGTCATTATCCATACCTTCTGTAGAAAATGCTGTTATTTTCAGAGCAAACAGGGCATTAGATGTTTTATTTTTATAGCCTTTAGTTTCCTTTAAGAACTAAACTATAAGTGTATAGTTAAAGGTCTGTGTCTAGAGGAACAGGCAAGCAATGTCCTGTATTAGAACAAACTAAAACTGAAAAGTACCTTCAAATTCTTAACAGA